CGGGGCGGGGCTGGACGCCGCACCGCCACCTCGCGCCCCCGCCCACGTGCCCCCGCCCGCTGCTCCGCTCCGCTCCGCTGCGGCGCGGGGAGCCAGGCTGGCAAGCCGGCGGGCGGAGGTTAAACCCGGGCCTGGCCCAAGCGCAGGGAAGCGCCCCGGGGAAGGGAAACCCCTTCGGGCACGGCCTCAAACAAGAGTGCTGCCGCGCCGCGGCGTGGCGCACGCTGCTACAGCTCTACTGGAGGCAGAAAAAACTTGACCGGTACTCAAGTATTCTCCCAGTTAGAATCATTACTGCCGCTTAGATCTATCCAAGGCAGTTACATGCTCCTCAGGCACCTCCTAGCTGAAGCAGTACAGGCATTCCCCTGCCTGCAGACACCCTCCCAGCGGGCAGAAAACCCCTCAGCCAGCCCCCGGTGGGACTGCATGTTCCGTGCATTCTGGCGTTGTCTCCCACGGGAGAAACATGCCCACCGGTGGCTACTCTTGCCCTGCAGAGGCCCCAGCTTAAGAATGAGACGGCTTAAGGCCATTGAGACAGCATGGGACATCCACTTTATAACTCAGTACGGCACTGTGTAATAGGACGGTCCTGTGACACAGCAACATTTACGTGTTTCAGTCCATTACAGGTTGGGAGGCTGGCTCCCCTTCCTCATTTTTATTCCTTTTTAACTGACCTCCAGAAAGATGCAATTCTTAGGAGAACCAAAGAGTTGTGTCCCACAGTCCTCAACCCCTCAGAAAGGAGCTGACACCATTCTGCAAGTAAATTTCAACTAATTACACCCTTTGTGTTTCACGTGTTCCAGCTGTGCTGGTTTAGACAGGTATTTAATTTAGTGCTGCTTCCCATACACCTAATCAAGAAGGTGTGTTCAGTTGCCTGGAATTCTGCTGTTTGAAATAAAGGTCCCAGTTGCAAATTGAAGTCATAAACGCTACAATGTTCCCCTAGGACAAAAAAACGAACAAACAAAAAAAACCCCCAAAAAACCCCAAAGTTGACATAGGAACCTAATGGCAGAGGATAAAAGTGCCATACGAAAAACAGGAACTTGGTAAACTATGCTAAACCCTCAACTTCCCTCTGCAGGTGCCCTGGAAGAGAGGCTGGAGCGACGGCTCTGACTTCAGCCCCGCTCTGCCTCACAAAACCTGTAGGAAGCCAGGGAAGTCCCCCCCCGCGGGGAGGAAGGTTTGCTCGCACACGGCCAGCCTGTCCCTCCTTAGTTCTCCACGCCAGTTTCTCCCTCCCCGTCCCTCCCCTACCCCC